CCCCGGCGGGTCAGTGACATCCAGCCCCCAGCAGGTTGGTGACATCCAGCCCCCAGCGGGTTGGTGGCATCCAGCACCCAGTGGGTCGGTGGCATCCAGCACCCAGCGGGTCGGTGGCACCAGCACCCAGTGGGTCTGGCCAGGACACTCGCAGTGCCAGGGGGACACAGCCGGGGGGACCCCACACTGGGTGCAGGGGCCAAGTCCCACCCAGCGATGGCCACATCGCTCAGAGGGCTCTGCGATTTTAACCAGCAGAAAACTCATCCTGATTTCACCTCTTCTTACTTTTCTTTTACAATATCCCAGTTTCTTAATACTGGCCCAGGCTCTGGCACCACACTGGTGGCATCTGCATCTGTCCCCAGCGCCGCTCACATACACACAGTCCAACACTGCGATGCTCCGCTCTCCACACAGAAACAGGCAACTGTTTGCATTTAACTCCAACATCACGTTAAGCCCATCACCACACGTGTCACTTGTCCCAGCAGCGACCAGATGAGCCCAGGGGCTGAACTGGGCAAACTTGCTGAACCCCAGCTACAGCCCGGAGCATCGGTACAGAAAATTCACGTTCCCTCCAAGGGGCACAAAGGAGGTGCCAGGGGCTGGGACACGGGAGCGGGGAGAGCTGTGCGGGGTAAAGCACGGTGTGCTGGTATAAAACTGCCCCGGAGCTGGATGAAAGGGGCCAGTACCCAGTGAGCATCCCAGGAAAAGCTGTACCGATGCAGCAGCCAAGGCGGATTTGCAAACAATGAGGGGCCTGAGGGCCCTTGAAAACACCTAATTATCTCATTAAAGAGACAAATACAAGTCACTAATAAGATATTAGAGGTTAAGCGAATGTTTCCCCCATCTTTAATTAAGGGAAAACTAGTTAATTCAGATTAAAGGGATTTCTGCAGTCTCCCATGATAGCCCTCTATAGCTGCAGAGTTGAAAATCTGTTGGGATCACTGAACGGAAAGGTCAGAGTTTGGGGCTGTTGTTTGCTCTGCCTGGGGGACTTGGGGGGATTTCCCCCAAAGGGTGAGCGGTGCCCTGCTTCATCAGCTGGGTTACTCCAAGAACACAAGAAGGTATGTGACACACAGCTCCCTCTCCCTAACCCCGGACCTGGTGTTTGTTCAAAACTACTGCCGTTAATTGTTTTTATTTAACTAGGAAATTCCTGCAGGCTATTTTCCATCTGCAAAACATACCCCACGCGTGGGTTCTGCTGGCCCGACGGCAGCCACTGCCCCTGCTCAGTGCCCGAATTTGCTGTAGCAAAAAACCCACCGTCCGCACGCCCCAGAGCCCAACTGGTTTCCAAAGCTTTTATTGTGGAAGGCAGAACTCATCCCCACGCACACCCACGCACCCACCCACACACTCACACGCTCCCACTCGCCACCGAGACCGGTCACAGTTAATATAGATCAAGATTTATATGGAAGAATATTTAATCTGCTCGGGGAAGGGAGAGGGGTCATCTGTGGTTTTATTTCTTAAATATTTCTCTCTACTCCAGAAGGGTCCGTTTCTTGCCAGAAAAGGTCCGATATAAATTAGAACAAAGGGAGGAGGTTACTGGCGGGGCAGCCAGGAGCATCCCTGGACCACGGCATCCATGGGCATCCCTGGACCACGGCATCCATGGGCATCCCTGGACCACGGCATCCATGGGCATCCCTGGACCACGGCATCCATGAGCATCCCTGGCCCGCGCTCCTGGCTCCGCACGCTGCAGGGCAGATGAGGTCCCAGCACGGCGGTGTGCTCTGCAGGTGGCTCAGTCCCACCCAAAGTCCTGCCCTGTCATCTGATAAAACTTCATGTTGAAGGGTCTGTAAAACTCCCGCAGGCGCTGGACCACCTGCACGTCGATTTTGGGGTGCGGCCGCCCCTTGGATTTGCCCAGGCAGCGGGGTTTGCTGCCGCCCTCCGGCTTCTTCAGGCAGGGAAAGCCCTTGGTCTCGTTAAAATAGAAATGTTTGTCCGTCACCACCCTCTTGAGACCCAGAAAATCCTGGACACGGCCGCACGGACCCAGCCTCCCCCCGCTGACAAAGAGAAATTTGGAGAGGGGGAAGTACTGCAGCCAGTTGTCCAGGTGCTTGGCGTAGATCCCGATCCGCACCGCGCTCCAGCTGGTGTCGATCAGCCCCGTGCTGAGGTTTTTGAAGGCCAGGGCCTGGAAGCTGGGGATGGCAGGGTTTTTGGAGAGGGTCTGCGTGTAGTCCGAGATGGCGCGGGTGACGGGGTTCCTCACCACCACGATCAGCTTCGTGTCCCGGGACATGTTGTAGATGCGCCGCGGA